AGCCCATACTACAGAAAGTATAATGTGAAACTTGTTTAATAGGCTTATTTTCCATAAATACAAATTAACTGGCAATAATTCTGCTACTTGCTTTTAATTCATTATTATTTCAGTTTCATGTTATCTGTTCCATTACTTTTTCCAAGGAATTATGTGACACTGACAAGTCTATAATTTCCTGGTTAATTTCTTTTATTCTGTTTAAATATTAGCATGTTACCTTTCCTTTGCACTCCTGAATTTTCCCCTGTGTGGCAAGAGTTACTGAAAATCAACATTAATAGTCCAACTCTTCAACAGTGCCTCTAAACCTGTAGGACACAGCTTATCCAAACCTGCTAATTTAAAAATGTTTCATTTCCTGTTCCAAAGCAAAAATAGTTCCTGAAGCAGATACAGCCTCTTATCCCTCCAAATCAAGCCAGTAAGGATGGGAATGCCCCAGGAACACTTGAAATAAGTCATAGAGGACAATGACAAGAATAATTTCTGTGATACAGAGGAGAACAACACAAGTGAATGCTCTTTGACCTGTTAGTTGTTAAAACACAGTTGTTTCTGGTTTGGCATATGTGGAAACTGAGATGTAGGGAACCTTAGCAATATCCACAGTGCATGATGGAAACATAAGAGCAGAAGTGAGGAGGTCTGAACAACCCATGGCCTAACAGCTACAGGCAGCTCCTCCTCATACATCCTTCCCTGTTAACCCAGAGGTTCCAAACAAATATCACCACATCAAAGCACAAAAAACCATGTACAGCTGTTCATTGTTAGCTGATCATCTTTTTATTAGAATCACAGTTAACACTAACTATGAAAAGGAAAGTAAAACAAATAATTGTTGGAGTTTTTCTTTCTTTGTACAATTTTCTGGGGTTTGCCTGAGGACAATTTTTTTTTTTTTTGTAAAGCAGTCAGCACACGTGGAGTTAGCATGATGTATAATTGCAAGTAATTTTTTAATAATACTGATAATAATTTTGTATTTTATATTGTCTTTTTAAGGAGATAAAGGACAAAAAAATGTGGCAATGCAGACATACATACAAATATTGTGTTAGAAATCTAGAAAATCATACAGGGAGATTACATGTCAAAATGGACCACTCAGTACAGTATTGATAAAAAATTGCCTACATTCTATCTTTACTTGTTGTAAGGCTGAAGTTCTGAAGCATGCAAATATGCATGACCATAAAAGAATTTTGAAGTCAAAGACAAAAAAAAATTAAAAATTTAAATAAATGTCTGATATAGCCTAGTAATAAAAACCACACCTCCATACAGCATTTTCTGGGATATATTCAAGTAGGAAAGCAGCTGAGACCAACTGAAACAAGCTATAATGTTCAAATATTGAATTGCTCTTGGCCAGAGTAGCTAACGTAAGTTATAAATTTGAATTCTATTCCTTTATGCTTACTGCTTGGAGATGTGGAATGAGCCAGCAACAGTAAGAAATCTTTATACATTTAATAGTGTATTTGCTACTTTGTGATTTAGCATTCTGAAACACTCAGGCAAAAGAAAGTCTGCATTAAGAGAACATGAGTGACATATTCAGGGAATTGGCAATACCATATCTGGGACTGCTTTTATCATGCTAATTCAGCTCAGCTGTGTGAGTCCCTTTCCAACAGGGGTCATTTAATGAGAGCATTCTTTTTCAGAAAATCCTGTCTCTCTCAGATCTGGGAATAAGTCAACATTTGTGTTGTTGAAGATGCTAAATGTGAGGCAGCCAATCCCTCATTTGCTGTAGAAAAGGAGGAGTTTGATGTAATGAATGATGCAGTACTTGCAGAACAGTTGCTGGATTTAGGAATTTGAGTATTGCCCAGAAGAATACACATTGCTCTTTTTCTATAAAATTCCATGGCCATACTGGCATAATTTAAATCACAATTTTTCAAAATTGCAACTAATTCTGTTTTCCCCATTTTGTATACCAAACTTTAAATCCTCAGCTTGATTTGTCGAGTGTTAAAATCTCATCATTGTAATTTAACATTTAGTAGACTGTAAGTCTTAAAGGAATTGCAGCTACCCACAGTTAGTCAGAAGTTGAGCTGAAGGAAGGATACCAGCTATTCATCTAGACCAAAGTAACTGTGATAATTTGTCCTATTTTCCTTTTTATAGTATTCTTGGAATTTAGTTCCAGGGGACTATAAGCAGTCTGAACTTACTAATTACTATGAAAAATCAGCTCCAAGATACTTCGTCTTAGGCGTCGAAAGTTAGTGAGCCATTTTGGTCAAACTTCGTTTCCATCTAAAAGCTGGAATGAAAGGAAATGGAAATCTGCATATAGTGTCTGAATAGTGTATGTTCACCAGTTCCCTGGCTCTTTACCCTGCTCCTAAGATAAACATCCATACTTCAACTTGAATCTCCATAAATTGTTCTCCATCCAGTTATTTGATGTGAATTGAAGGATCTCAGGGAACATCACAAAACTGATTTCTTGTGCAACCTACACATCAGCTTAACTTACTTTCAGCAAGGAAAGATGATACCACTGACGCAGCTCGTGACAGTCAAGAGAAATGAGTGGTTGTTTGTGAAGTGCCTAGGTGCTCTCATGAGGAACACCATAGAAAAGTCTGTAAGAGATCAACAATGTCTATCAGCAGCAGCATTTGAGCAGAGAGTGATAAACAAAATGCAAGATCACACGTTGAAATGGGGAGAAAATGAAAGTGAATTATTTGGCACCATCCATTCATTCCAATAAATGAGGTAAGGGTATATAGAAAGAACAGCTTATGAACTGATAGTGCAAGGCCATTGAAAGGTGCCATTGCAGAGGGGCTTAAGCCTGCATGGACATTTTTAATTCTGACCTATTCTAAATCTTCTCATCTTGTATGTTTATGTGCCATTTCCTGGATTTTTGTTGAAATAAAAACTATCTACTTCACATTCCAGAAAGATACATAAATGCAATTTATTTCATATTACATTTCATTGGGACTTTTGAGTTCCCTGATTGGTTGGAACTGCTAAACCTCTATATTTGAAGTTTGTATCACTAACAAATACATGCTCCAATTATCCAAACATACCCTGCCTACCCATATCAGTGGGTACCCAGCTCATTGGGGAATTAAACAGATAGTTGACACACAAGAAATTACATGGAAATAACACATCCAATTGAGCAACTTCCCCGATGCTTGTTTTTCCTAATCATCATGTACATGTTGGTGTACAACACAGTATTATTGTAACATAAACTTTTTTTCCTTACAACTTCCACTTTTATATATTAAAATATAGGTTTGAATAAATTACTTGAAAGTTCAGTTGAAAATCTGTGGCACTGCCACACCTGTATTTACAAATCACTGACGGGTGCTTTAGTCACAGTAAAATCATTTCTTCCATTTACAATTCAGTTCTTAAAATACAACTCCCCTACAATGTTGATGAGTCTCACGATGTTTTGAATTCAAATAGCAAGAGAAATGTTTGTCCAATAGCACTATTAAGTGAAATTAAACATTAATTCCTTTCTTGTGTTCAGCAGGATCCAGTCTCCAGCTCAGCTGTATACAGTGCAGTCCTCACTTATATGAACTTCTCTTCATACAGCTTGTTAAAAGATATAATTCTTTTGTCAAATTTTCATTCTGTGTGCATTATCACCTTGAGAAAAGCCACTTGCTACATGTATTTGTTTTAATTTGGGGGTTCATTCCAATGCAAAGTCAAATCCTTTTAAACCTTCAGTTGATTCCTGGTCTTATTGATGGCCACACTAGACTTTGTGTAGCTATGAAGAATTCTTTATCTGTCATTCCAATCTCTAAAATTGTTGTACATCAGTGAATCAAGTATTGTAGCAAGATTTTTTTCATTCTACTGTGTTACAATACAGTGCCCTGTAAGACAGTTTCACCAATACAACATCGATCAAACCAGAGATCACGGTGTAAGAGTGATGTTCGGCTGGGGCCATCTGCTGGCTGCACTGCTGTTCTTTCATTGCCAGATTTAGAAAATCACTTTATATTTGTAATTCTATAGTAATTATATGAATTGCAGCATATATTAATAATCACCTACATACATGATGGTTTTTATGTACTTTTTATTTATTTTTAAGATTAAATATTCCGTGAACTTTATATGGCCTAATTATCAGAAGAAAAAAGAATTAATTTATCTTGCTTTCATAAACAAAATAAAAATGGAGGGGAGGAGGCTTGAAAAAGCTCTTACTTCTCAATAACACCAAAAAGAAAGCAAGGAAAAACGTAATATTAATGCTAAGATATATATGATTTAGAAAAGGAATCTACATATCTTTAGCTTTTATTTCTGTGAAGAAAAGGATAAATAATTCTTCTTGTATTACTTGATGCATTATAAGATTTCACCTTGAATTTGTATGGATTGTTCTAAAATAGCTAAGATGCACCATGTCCAATTTTCTTGCTATTTAAAAAGATCACAGTCAACTTTATTATATTCTTCAAAGGCTTTTATTAAAAATAAATTAATGCCAAAAAAGTAGCAGATGAAAAAAATGTAAAGTCTTTAAAACCAGAAGTTCTAATCAGTGAGCTGATTAGAACTTCTGCAAACTAAGAATAATCGAGACAATTTAGTTCAAAGTGTGAGTGTATTTTTATAACGAAGCTATGATGTATTTATTCACTTACTGTATGATAATATTGATAATTATTTGCACTGTGATTGAGTCTTATTTCTATTATTGCAAGATTTTATGCAGCTTCCACCTGTGTTTTCAGAAGCAGGAGAAAGCATTTTACAGATTTTGCAAGTTTAAGAGAGATCCTTTGCACCATTAAATGAGTAAACATATATATTTATTTATTTATATAAACAAAACCAAACACATATACACATTCATTTATTATACTAATGCCATGGTTTAGTTGGTGAGGAGGTGTTTGGTCATAGGTTGGACTCAAAGGTCTTTTCCAACCTAGTTCACTCTGTGATTCTGTGATTCTGTGCCTGTATGTACATACATGTGCACATTTGCAATATATGTGTATACATCTACATATGTATATGCATGCATGCACACCTATATATCAGACCAACATCAAAATTGCACTGTTTACAGTCTCAGTTAAACAAAATCCTCTGCTGGCTCTTAGTTGCACTGAGATTAAATATCTGCCATTATTCACATTTGCCCTCAGCAGGTCCATCAGCAGGACAGACTTCTAACAGGAGCTGTAAGTGGCAAGTAATTTTATCAAGAAATGCAAAATGCAATTTAAAATGTACAAAAGGCAGATAAATAATAAGACTTCCAAGCATAAACAGGAAAGCGTAAACATATTGCATGTTTGGAGACCAGACTATGGGAGCTAGAACTAGGAAGAAAGACATCGCCACCATCATAAATGGAACTGGTAAAAACACCTGTAAGAGAAAGAAAAAAAGTGGGTTAGGAAATAAACGAACCAACTGCGATTTTTTTTGCCTCATTCATTGGAGTAACAATGTGTTCTTTGCCCCAGTAGAGTACCATTTCTCATGCTGCTATAAATTCACCCAGGACAAGAGTCACCTGACTCAAATTGCCTATAAGAGAGGCATCTTTTAAAAAATACTTGTTTAGGCTCCTTCTGTGGTCAAGGGGAAGAGATAGGCAGTACTAGAAATCCATTTGTTCAATATGATATTGTGGGTTCCTACAAGACACTCAGGGCTGGGTGCCTGGAAGCCTTCACAATGAGCATACACCTCTAACCCAGCTTTCTGACTGCTGGAGTAAGAGGAAATTCAACCGATCCTTAATGCCTGTGATTGTGTCAGGGAAGATGGGAGCAGAACAAAGTTTAATGAACTGAATGGCAATGGATCCTATACTGTTCTTGTTACTGCTCCACGCTGCTATGGTTCCACATTGTTTGCGCATCTCCCCCATTCTTCAAAGAACCATCTCATGGTTTCAAGTTCTCTGGGTCAGAGACCATCTGTTTATCTTCCTTTTATAGTAAAGCAAAATTTTCAAATAAGGCTCTAAGAATTGAGATTATTATTTGTAATTTTGTGACTATCCACTTTGGATTTGCACTTCTATAACTTTTGCATGTCACCCAGGACTCAAAAAAAATTTTATAAAAATATTTTTAACTTAGATCCATTTACTTTGTATGGTCGGTGTAGATGAGGTTCCCGGTATCGAAGTACAATCAGGCTTGCACAAGTCAATCCAGTCATAAGCCAGGCAGAAAATCCAAAGTAATTTGTTAACATAATAAGGTCAGAGGGGATGATAAAAATGGATGCAATGGTGGTTGAAAAAATCATGGCTGGTGCTGGTGTATAGGAGTGGACATTAAGCATGGATATTAAAAGAGGTAAATGTCCTGACTGACTTCCAGCATAGCTTAATCGACCTAGTGTGAACATGCTGCAGTTGAGGGCACCAAATATTGAGACAGCAACAGAGAGAGGAATGATCCAGGCAACAGAGGGGATCACTCGATCAGCCCAAGTGACTGCCACAGCAACTGCAAGAAAGCAAAGAATTAGTGTAGTACAAGTACCATGTTCTGAATAACTGACAGACTCAACAGGAACAAAACTTAAAATACAAGAAACACTTATTATTTACCAGCAATGCCTGCTTTTTCTTTGCAGTAGTCAATACACTAACACAATCCTAAAGGTATTTCATTCAGGAGCTAAACATTTCCTGGGAGGATGACAGCAAGAAGGATTGCTGCCTGCCAGAGCAAGCCAGGGAAACCTGCTGAGGCCAATACCACAGTCATGGACTGCCCAGCAGGAGTGAGCCACATCTCATGTCATGCATCACAAACACACACATCTGGGCAAGGGAAGAAAATTAACTCCTTGGTCCCTGGCGTGACCAGAGTGGTGACACAATCTGCTGTTACAGAAGCACATCTGCCAACAGGAGCACGTCTATGTTCAGAGTCAACAAGTGTGCTGTTAATGAGATTTTGCTTTGGTGGGACTGGGAAATGCGAAAGATTGTTTCTAAACAAGAGATATTCAGTATTGCTTGGAAGTAAGCTATAGGTAATATTGTAGTGAGGACAATATTTAGTGGGTCTAATGCCATTTGAAAAATTGCTATAATTTTAAGGTTATCTCGTCTGCTAGCATAGATAAACACAGTTCTCCTGCTATGCATGAAGCTGGTCATGCCAGCTGGCAGCTGCTATTCATGGATAATCTGGTATTTGCTGCCTCCTTCATTGTAGCATACAAATGATCCATCTCTCCCAGCAGACAGCCTGACACTGGCTGAGGTTACTGAGTGACAGGTACACTGTTCTCATTTATACTGGTGAGCTTTTTTCATAGGAAAAAAATTATTGATCTATCCAAATGAGGTATGGTTTTTGTCAGGCCTGTAGGCAAGGTCTGACAGCTCAGTGTCATTACAGTGGGATTTAAAATGTGGTGCTTGGACAATCAAGGAGAAATACAGTTCCCTTTGGAGCTTTACATGGCCAGCTTATTGATACAGGATCTAAGACAGGGTTTACAAACACTGGAATTTTGTATAGGCTCTTCTGAGAAGTCACAGTATTTGTCATGAAACATACACACCCAAAATGGCTACATTTTTGTGTCAATACATGAACATGTTAGATTTGTCCACCTCCTAATGAGTAATGGCTTTAGTCTGAGACTCAGTGAGATAGGGAAAGAAGGAGGAGATAGGATTTAAACTACAGGAAAACAAATATCATCTCTATATTTGGGACCTGACTTTCACCTTATTTTCCAGGTTTTAATACACTTCTGATTTCTTTTTAGACAGTGTAGGGAAAAGCCAACAATTTCAACAATCTGCCTGCATTCATCCAATTTGTGTCATAGAGTAAAATTAAAGAAGAATTCTTTTTTAAAAGAAAATGAACCCAAATTTCTGGACTGTGAAGTTAGGTCAGCAGAAGTAACCCAGAGCATTGACATCAGATGGATATGTCAATGGGCCAGTCCTTTTTAATTAAAAAAATATGAAATACATACCTGAGGAAACAATTTCCTTAGGTGTGAGGACACTCAGATATGAGATGTTCACTAGTAAATAAAAAACAATTACTGCAGGAACAGCAGTCATCACAGTTAAGGGGATATTTCTGCTGGGGCGCTTCATCTCCTCTGAAAAATACAATTTAAAACAAATGAAGCAAGCAGTGTAGCTTCTGCAAGTGTTTTTCAAAAGTGAAGCTGTACGGAGTTTGACAAGACTGATACCAAAGTCCTGCCACAATCTAATCATGGCTAGTAAATTCTCTGCTTGTGAAGTCCTACAGTGGTGCTCAAATAGGTTAATATCGAAGATTCTTAAACAACATTTTTTTACTTAGCTATTTTTAACTATTTTGGAAGGAGGGCTAGATGAAAAGCTGATTGATCCACAAAAATGACAAAAGGAGTGATAATTTCCCTAATCACATATTTGATACTATTTTGGAAGGAGGGCTAGATGAAGAGCTGATTGATTCACAAAATGACAAAAGGAGTGATAATTTCCCTAATCACATATTTGACTTATGTTAGAAAAGTGATTTGGTAGGAAATTTTTCAGTGGACTTTCTTCAAAATTACTAGCTTAAACATAAGACTCTTAAGTCACATTATTTATTCTTAAGTCACCTCATGAATCCTGATCTTAAAATTATTGAGCATATTTGCCTATTCCTACTCAAAACCTTTCTCCTTGCTCTTATACCAGAAGTAACAGAAAAGACTGAAGGTATAGACATAAGAGCAATAATGCAGTGGCTTAAAAGGGGATCATTCCCAGATGGATTTTGATTATTATCATCTTTTCCAGGATAAAGATGATGGAGGAAAACTGTTTAGTGCTAAGCCTGATAGCTTAGAACTACTCTTATCAAACAAGTAAAAAACCCAAATTTTGCAAGTGAATAACTCAGACACTGGCACACATTCCTAGGCATGTCATAGTCCCAGCAAAATATGGAGCTAGTTTCCAGAAGCTTAATCTCAATCACCCTCATCTCAATCAGAATGGTTCTTTTTAATTTCTTTCACTCCTTCCTCTTGTTCCCTCACCACTTCCCACTTCCCTCAGCATTTACAGACAATTTCCTGAGTATTACCAGCAAATAACTGGTAAGAGGGAAGAAGTGAAAAGTGAAATGTGCAGCTTATTTAAACTCTTTTTAGGAGACAGAAATCTGCTTCCTCCTTCACATTTGATTTCTATCTTCTGCTCAGGACATCAGCCTTGAGCCATGATCTTTTTGCTGGCTGTAGTGCATAGAGACAAGACTGAAGGATCACAGTAGTGGAATTCAGATACTATCAGGGAATTTGGGATTTATTTCAGATATAAAAAATACACTTAGCAATTTTGAGCTCAGAAGAGAATAATCACCAAAATTTCCAATTTAAATGTATCTTTCCGTTCGTTTTGTTGTTTATTGTAGCCTTGCCAGCCAGCTGGCACCTGATCCATCAGCTGAAGCTCACAGAAATGAAGTTATTGTTGAAGCATAGGAAACTCAGTTCGGTTCAGAACTATTGCATGGGTTACATCTGTCTAAGCAGCTGTGCTTGCCAGTGTATGGCATTTATTAGTATAGCTAACTGATCAGAATAAAACAGTATTTTACCAGAAGTCTTGTATTTTTTCAGGCTCACAAAGCCAAGTACTTGCCTTTAAAGAATCTCTAAGTTTTCAAAACCATACTTTCGTGATTTATATCAATTTTTTTTTTAAGTGCAGCCTATTTTTAAAGCTGGAGTACCTGGATTATAAAGACAACAGTCAGGTTTTTAAACATTAACCAAATTTTCACACTGAACTTCATGGTATGCATTTAACACATTCCGTTTATTTAATATTTTACATGACAGAGGTCAATGGATACAAATGGTTAAAGATATAACAGCAATATCCACTTGCTTACAATGTAATTCCATGAATCTGATGATACTATAAAACTCTATTGATTTAACTTGTGATGTGAATACCTAACATTATGAACATCATCTCTGTTGCTTTCATGAAAAAATGCTCATTTATTACTGCCACATGTCAGAGACATAGAATAAGGAAGTAAACAGATATTCAAAAACCTTTTGAATGTTAAAATTGAGTACACATTCTATGAAAAAATTTATACCACCTTCCATAGACCTCTCTTTACCTTCTATTAGACTTCTAAAGTCTAGTTTCCCAGGAAAACATATCCCATAAAATTACTACATTCTAACACTAACAAAAGTCAAAATTAATTTGTCCATGTTCAAACCAGCTGCATAACCTCAGATAAGGCACAGATATTTAAATAGAAATTATCTATGCACACATAGTTTGGCATGGATAACTTAATTTTCTTTGCTAAAAATATGCTGACATGGACACTGAGAAAGAAAAAATGCAAATTTTTAAGGTATGAAAAATTCTATTTATGGACAAGATTTAAAATTAACTATTATGATTTCTCATGTACTTCCCTGGAAATGTCAGCTTGATTCTTCACAAAAAGCAGGAATTATCCCTGGAGAGAAACAATGACTCTTCTACCAGCCCCAACAAACACTCATGTAAAATGAGAAGTGCCCTGTAGTCTTGAAGCAGAGACAAGTTCTCCCAAAATAAGCTGAGGAACACGAGAATGAGAACTGCAGAACTAAATCTAAAGAAGAGGAGCGGAATACCTGCCATGTAGTTGAGGGACCACCAGCCGCCGTATGCGTACAGCCCCTGGAAGAAGGCTTCGGCAACCTGTGAGGCATTGGGGATCTCTGAGCCAAACATGTCCTCAAACCTGGCCAGGCTCTCCTTTTGCCTGGTAACAAGGAGAACTATGCCACCAACAGCAATCACAGACAAGGCCATCATCTTCAGCAGAGTGAAAACTAACTGCACCCATGCAGACATTTTGACGCTGAGGCCATTCAAAATCCCCAGGGACCAGAGAACGGCCAAGGCCAAGCACTTCTTCAGCACGTCTGGTGCAGGACAAATGCCATAGAAAGGCTGCGTGGCATATTCAGCAAATAGCAAGGCTCGAGCAGCATTTGATGCCGGCTTGGTGAACGTTGATGTCCAGATAAACACGAAGGCAGGTAGGGATCCAAGGCCTCTTTTAATATGGCTGTATTCTCCTCCAGAGAAGGGCAGAGCAGTTCCCAGCTCCGCATAGCAGAGGGCACCCATCAGAGAAACGAGCCCAGATGCAGTCCAGATCGTTAGTGCAACACCAACATTGAGTAAGGAATGCTTTAATACCCCTGTGGGAGACACGAAGATCCCTGCTCCAACGATTGATCCTACTATAAAACTTACCCCATCAAAATAACCTATATTTCTTTTGAGTTGCATCTTGGCTTTTCCTTTTCTTTGCACATCTTTGGGGTCATTGTTTTCTTCTTTTCCCATATTTCTTGTGGTTTGTTTTTTTTCACAGCAGATTTCACTTGGTTGTTAGCAGTCTGTCATAGCCCTACTTGCTAGTGAAATGTTATGGGAAGCTTGGCTTAATCATTCAGAAAAGAGAGCATACTTTGGGTTTTGATGTCTCCTGTGTGAAGATAATTAACCAAATACTTCAAGAAACACTGGCAAATCATGTACATGTTGGTTTAATATGTACTTCAGAAATTATTAAGGTCTGCAGGTATTTTTAAAGAAAAAAAGATTAAAATTAATGCACGGCAAATGCTCATTTCTCAGATGATTTTCATCAACAGATTTCATTTTGTTTTATGTACATCTTCATAGGCAAGTAAATGTGACTTATACATCAACCCTAGGGAAAGAGGAATGATATGGCAACATGAAGAAAGAAATCAACCTTCCATATATTATTGACAGTGACATGGACATTAGATGAACAGCGTGCCACTATTTTTCCACCATCTATACAGAAAAGGGACAGTGACAACCAATGATCACCAGTATGCTTTGCCAAAATCTCATCAGTCACTGGGTATTTTGAAGCTTGTTTATAATATCATAAACTCATTAAATACTGCCCTAGAAAGAAAACTACTAGTTTCATTCCCAGTTTTTGTCTGAGCACTCATTGTTAGACTAGTACTCAAGCACGTCCTAAGATGGCATTAATCTTCAGACACTGCTGTGAGGGAGGGAAAGAAGCTGTATCATAATTTTCATTTCTGTACAGGGGCTGTGGAACAGAAAGAGGAAGGATGGAAGTTCCCACCGGTGTGGCATGTGTCTTTTATTATCTGTTGTATATTTTGTGTTAGGAGCTTCTCTTCAATCAGATGTGGAGATACCATAAACAAATTACTTTTGTACAAAACATGGAATTACTTTTTTAAAAGATGTCAAGAAAAAATGGGCAGAAAGTAGAAAACTAACTGAAAAGAAGCTCAGCATGAACCCTAAGGGTTGTGTAAGTGCCCAAACTTGTAACTGCAAAGTTCTTCGTTTTTGTCAGTAAAGTTGCAGAACCAGTTTTGATCAGCAGTCCTGCAGGTCAAAGCTCAGCAGTGCAGTGAAAAAAACTCAAGCTTTTACAGGGGCCAACTTGAAAGACACAGTGGTTCACACCTGTTTTGAACAGGAGGATTTCCACTCAAATAGAAAATAAATTCATCTGAAACTTAGCTTACATAATATGCCATAATGTAAGAATCCTTTGGCTAAAATAGGCCTTTGCATAGACTGTTCTTTTAATTGTTTCAATTACCTCCAGTGGGTTTCCTGCACCACACAGAAGCTTTGCAGCATGGTGACAGAATCTACAGCCCCAGAGCAGCTTCTAATCATAACAAAATTCTTCCATTTTCTCCAAATCCCTGCAGTACTCACTAAATATTTTCACCTTACAGACTACAAAAATTGTAGTTCTACAAGAACACCTCTACTTACTAAAGCTTGCGTACATTTTAAATTGCATTTATTAATTTCATAAATTGTAGTATGTATTTAAGTATGCATTTACCATGCATTATTAAAATTAATACTAATTAAAATATTAGTTATATAATATTCACCATTGGGAAATTCAGCATGGCATATGTTTTACATGGTTAAAATAAATAATTTTTTGTTTTATTTTTTGAGTCTCCTTCTCTGTGAATGCACACATATTATTCGATATCCAGCAATCTTCCAACTCTGTGTATTCTGCCATGTACAGCTGGATTTGGATCAAAATCTTAGAACAAATCAATGTTACACTCAATGGAATCTTAAAGTACAGATGCAACTTTTTTCACTGATCATCCTAGCATACGATTTCTAGTACAAGAAAGGCATTCACAGAATGTCCCAAACAGCATACTAGTCAGGATTTTCTACTTCTGACAAAGCTGCCTAATCTCAGAAAACCTCACTGACATTATCCCTTGGTGGCTGGGCACGGGATCGGGCTCCCCAGGAAGGCGGTCACAGCTCCATGCCTGGCAGAGTTGCACAGTGCTCTCTGGCACGCGGCGCGACTCCTGGGGATGGCCGTCGATGATCCCTGAGTGTTCCTTCCATCTCAGATTGTTCTGCGATTCTGTGACACTCTTAACACCGGGTGCGCTCTACAAAACACCACAGCCCCCCGCGCGTCCGCTCGAAAAGAATGCAAAGCGGTCCGGTCTCTAAACCCGGCCCCTTTCTGGGCCCATGGCAGGAAGCCGCAGGAGAGCGGCGGGGAGCTGCGGGGAGCGGCGGGAAGCGGCAGGAGAGGCAGGGAGCGGCAGGAGAGCGGCAGGGAGCGCAGTGGAGGCACGGAGCTCGTCCCCCGCTGCCCCACGGGCTCCGGCAGCGCCGCCTCCCCGCGGCCGCGCCTGCCCGCGGCGGGAGCTGGACGCGGCCGGAGCGGAGCGCGGCGGCCGCGGGGCCGTGAGGCGTTCGTGTTCTAAGGCGGGCAGCGCTGCCGTGGGAGACGAGGGAGCACTGAAGCGAGATGCGGCCAGCTCGGGGGCCCGGCGGCATGGCGGGGATCCCCGGCGAGCTCAGCCTCATGGATAAGGGCGTTAAGAGGCGAGTGCGGACGGGCCGGGGAGAGGGGAGGCCGCGGCGTAGGGCCGAGCTGCCGGCTGACGGTGGGCTCCTCTCTCCGCAGCCTGAGGGATGTGTCCCTGAGCTCGGACCTGCACACGCTCAACGCCCACTGTAACCTCATCGCCAGGATCCAAGGGCTCGACCATCTCCGGAATCTGCAGCACTTGGATCTGTCCTCAAACCAGATCCGCCGCATCGAGGGGCTCGGTTCCCTGGCGAAGCTGCGCACCCTGAGCTTGTCCTGCAACCTGCTAACCAAAGTGGAGGGTCTGCAATGTTTATTTCGGTCCATTTAGCAAGTTACAAAAGTTTCTCTAAGAGTCGTTGTAAGGTTTATTTTGGAATGTTTGTATATAAGTAAGGTTATACCAAGTTAGTATGCGTTAGTATGCTAACCATTTTATAAAGTAAATTTTAAGATGAGTATGTATAGTCTTCATAACCCTTATCTTAGCAAAATGCCTTAATTTAGAAGAAAAACCTGATTTTTATAATATGATTATAGATTAATGTCATAATTTGTAGTTATGATCTTTAAAGGTTCACTTTGCAAGCTTTGAATTTGAAGAAAGCAGAGCATTCTTCTGAAAATCCTCCTGTTTCTATTTTTTTCCCTTATTTTGTTTAGGACTGGAAAAACTCTTTAATTTAACTATGCTGAACTTGTCATATAATCGCATACATGATCTCTCTGGTAAGTGATGTTGCCATGTGCTGTGCAGTACAAAGCATTTGTCTCACTTTAATTTTGAAAAACGTGGCCAAGTGTATTTTGAAAAATTTCTAGTGCTTCAAGTGCCAATTCACTGAATAATTCTAATACAGGTGGCTATTGCTGCTCTTTTCAGCTTTAAGGTTTTTAGCACCAAAGATTGTTCCAAACTGGAATTTATTCTTCTGTGTTTGGTAAGGCCAAGCTTGTTCAGAAAGCAGTAAACATTTTGTATTTACTTCCAAAATATTTATATTTTTCATTTTTATAGAACAAAAATGCAACCTTACATATGGTATGGAAGTTCTCTTGTATATCTCTGTTGAAATGGTCAGTTGTTCTTATGATTTCATGCTACAAAATCAGGAGTACTTGTAATGGAAAATTAAAAGAACATTGGTAACAATTTTGTTAATGAGCTTGTGTTAAAAAATGAAACTTCAAGGAAAAGGTTTATTTTTACATGCGTTTTAACAGTCAGAGATTAATCTGTTTCTTTAAAGTTATCTCACATAAGTAGCTTAAGTGTTGTACTTTGTGGTAGACTAGCACAGGTAATTAACATTTAGACAAGGATATGGAGCAAGTGTTATTCTCTCATTTCTAGCTATGATATTTTATTTACTGAGTATTTTTCAACAAGATGCTGTCTGTTCTAAACCCCATAGAATAGGACTGTAGCAGAAAACATTACTTTGTGGTTGTTTGGGTTTTTTCCCCTGAAATTTCCAGGATTTCGATCTCTTCATGGAACCAGACATAAGATTAGCCACATTGACCTTCACAGCAACTGTGTAAGCAATATTAATCACTTACTGCAGTGCACAAAGGGGCTGCACTGTTTGACAAACCTGACGCTGGAAAGAAACGGAAAAGCCAATCCCGTTTGTCACATAGCAGGTATGGATCTGATCTTACGTAGATAATTTGTGCTCATTAGCTCCATGATTTCCTTTAAGCTGTGAGCCGTTTTCTGAAGCTTGCAAATTCATTCATAAACTGGCCAGCTTGCAGAAATCTAAATTCTGTCAAAATGATTCATTTTCCATTTTAAAAAAATCCTTTTTTCCCCGGCAGCATATTCTCAAAATTGTAAATTGTATGCTTTGATAAGGCTCAACATTTTCATCTGTGAGTCCAGTGGAGGGCCACCAACATGATTAGAGGGATGGAGCACCTCTCCTATGAGGAAAGGCTGAGAGAATTGGGATTGTTCAGCCTGGAGAAGAGAAGGCTTCAGGGTGACCTGTTTGTGTCTTTGCAGTACCTGAGAGGAATCTAAAAGAAGGAAGGAGAGAGACTCTTTCCAAAGGCATGTAGTGATAGGACAAGGAGGTATGGCTTCAAACTGGAATAGTTTTAGATGAGATATTAGGAAAATATTCTTTACTGTGAAGGCTGGTGAGGCACTGGAACAGGTTGCCCAGAGTGGTTGTGGATATCCTATCCCTGGAAGTGTTCAAGGACAGATTGCATTAGGTTCTGAGCCACATGGTCTAGTGGAAGGACAGAAATATTAATATTATAAGCTGAAAAGGTGGAGAACTCAAAGAATGTATTTGAAGATACTGAACTTATAGACAGAGGGCAGGCACAGGAAACAGGTAGTCTGCTACTAACAGAGATCACAAGAGAAAGTAACAGTGAGCTTTTCCTTCTTTTCCCCCTGCTTCGGTTAGCAGTGACAGACTCTAGGATC